AGATAGATAGATAGATAGATAGATAGATAGATAGATAGATAGATAGATAGATCGATCGATCACTGGCAGACCCACCGGCCACGCTGACCCTCTCCCTCTCGGTGTTGCTGGTGCTGGGTGCTGCCTGGCTAGGCACTGTTCCGTTGGTCAGGTTGCTGCCTGAGCTGTTGTACAGCATGTTATCCACCTTGGACTCCAGCCGGCCGAGTCGTAGCAGGATGTTGTCCAGCAGCACGGCCAGCGTCTTCTTGAGGTCTGCGGGGGACAGGGTGGTGAGCCATCCGGAGTGAAAGCCAAACCCTCCGCATCTCCCTGCAGGGATAGTTGGTCCAAAGCCCCCCCTCAGGGCCCCCAGAGCAGAAAGAGTGTAAATCGTCACATCCGTGATGAGGGATCACAAAGTCACAGCAACCGAAACCTGAATGCAGACACAAATGAGATCCATGGCCCAGGCGGCCCCTGACTGTTCAGGGTCTCCATAACCTCTCTGTGTCTGCCGTGTAACGCTGGTGGGGCTGTGAACACAGCAGGGGCAGGTAAGCAGCATTCGGGGCCGCCTGACTCTGGGTCACGGTGGTGGGTCATGTTACTATGGTAACCGGCCATGGGTGCAGACTGGCTCTGCTGTCAAATCCCCCCCCCACCCGCACCTGTACCTGTTTCCCTCTCCGGATCCATCCGCCAGCCCCGGGGCAGAAATCCCCTTTATTTGCAGTTGGGATGATTTACTCAGGGCACACTGGGAGCAAAAAACAAAACTGCTTTATCTGCGGGGTGGGTTGTCAAGCCCTGGAATAGAATGTCTCTGGTGGTATTTAAAAGCAGGGCTGGAGGTAGTCTGTCAGCACGGCCCCTCTGCTCCGGCTCTGTGTCACCGTGGTGGGGTGGGCGTGCTGGGAGTTTGCAGGCGCTCCTTACTCAAAGGGCTGCATAATTCCCTCGGATCCCCCTGGATCATCAGCCATTCGGCCTGGCCCACATCAGCCTGTGGGTTGCCACTATTCAAAAACAGGCTGCCAATAGGGAAAGCATGGCAGGCCGCTGCCCCCAACAGGAACGGGTCTGCTACTGCGAATAACTCACTCACCCATAGATGACTTACACCAAACACCAGAAAATATAACAAAAGCAGACACAGAGACGATGTCAAACAAGGATTTCGTATGACGTCCTAGTACAGCAATGGTTGCTTTGTATCCATGTCTGAGATAGGGATGATTTTCAGTTGCCATTTCTCTGAGTCTCTAGATATCTTTGGTCCTACAGTATAGTAGAAGAGACCTAACACATAAACAGCCAAATAGGCTCGGTTCCCTCCAGAGACGATGGCCATAGAGCTTTGAGTTGCTGTTCTCATGCATCACTATCAAGGTTTTTTGCATCCTTCTGACGTGTTCGCATCTGAATCACAGTCCAGAACATTCCCCAGAGTCACAGCATCGCCAAGATGCAGAGAAACTAGGCCAGAATGTTGTCCGGCGATCTTCAAGGGCCCTTGGGATGGAATAAAAAATAAATCTTGTCAAATGCTTGTCAGATGCTAAAAATGTCACTGTTCCGGTTGAGGAGTTCATCATGTAGACCACCAAACAAACCTGAGCCACTTTACCCTAAGTGTCATATGCGCCAGGCTGGTCAGCCGACCTCTACACACTCTCCAGAAGGACACCGGTACCTAACAAACACTGTCTCTGTGCAGCTTTGACAGAGATTGGCACCACGGTGAGTCTGATGAGTAGCCCAGATTTGGGCTGAAATCCTGCCAATGACATGACTGAACATTTTTGCGGGCTGCATCATGCAAACAAGGAGTCCCTACTGATAGGCTGAGCCATCGCAACATGCCAGTGCGCATCACACTCTGAATAGTGCTGCAGTGATGGGAATCGCCACGGCGACAGGGATAACTCTCCACCTGCTGATGATGTCCAGTGGAAGAACAAATCGAGACAGAGGATGGACCAGTTGCACGAAGGTCACATGAGTAGGTACCAATAAGATAAGGACGCCTGAATGGTGTGACGACCACCTATGCTGTCCATCCTCCATTAGGATAAATGGGAGGGGATGGAACCTTGAAGGAGCATCATGTGATCATCTTGTCTCTAATGTTATTTTTTTCTGACAAATTCCTTAATTCTCTCTGGCTGCCTAGTCTCATACCTGGGCTTTCACTGGAAGCTCAGCCCAGCTGCATTTATGCCTAGTCGGCACCTCGATAGCCGTATGTTTGTAATGTTTGCCTCACTCGTACATCCCTTTGGACAAAAGCATCTGCTAAATCTGCAATGTGTAAATGCCCGGTTCCGCCAAATCCTGGCCCCAGCTGCAAGTTAGTGACATCACTGCTTCTGATAGCAATGGTAAAGCCCTACAGCCCTCGCTGACCAGCAGGTGACCAGTTCCACGTTCCACGAAGGGCAGGAACCTCTAATCTGAAAGGCCGCTGGGCACAGTGGGCGGGCGTCCCGCTTCATGGCACTCAGTCACAGACGCTGTTTGTTGGGAAAGTCAATAAACAGGTTTTAACTGAAAGCTTTGAGTCTGAGTCGCCCTGGTAAAAATACCATCGACACGAAACACGATCCCTTTGATTTAATCAGAAAAACAAATGAAATGACTTATTGTTACTGCAGCAATGTTTATCTTATGAAGACAAACTAAACCGGGTCAGTGTTCCTAAGAAAGACCGATTAACTATTAACGACGGTAAACTCAGTTTCCCGGGAGCTTAAAGGACCTCAGAACGGACTGTGAGACTTCCTTGCTCTGTCTGTCCCATTTTCAGCAGGACATGAAGGAAGGGGAATCGTGGGAAAAAATCTTACTGCCCTTACCTTGCCTGGTACCCCTTCATTGACTTGGGGTGCTGCTGTAAATACCGTGGCAGCCATTGCAGGCTGTTTCCACGGCAGCCGCCGTACACCCCCCAAGATCCCGCACGCCGCTCACCGGAATAAAATATTTACGGGAAAACAGCATGAAATGCAACGTGAGGCATTTCTTCAGCCTCACAGTGCATCTCTCCCTTGCAGCCACCTCCGGACAGCGCCCCACCCCACTCCAAACACTCGCCCCATTGTCAGAGGCACCGCTGAACTGATCAGGCACTGATCAAGCAATTTCTATTAGCAATGACAGTGGGTGGAGCTAAGAATCACAGACTACAAAGGGAGCAGGTGGAGGAGAATGATCTGTGTGCCCCCCCCCCCAACCCGACCACCACTCCAAGGTGACCCGCGAGTTGCAAGTCACATGAAAGATGTTGCAACAGACGGCTGACATCCCTCTTCTAAAGAAAGTGGTCTTGCCTGAAACTGCTCAGAATTGCACCATGAATTACCAACAGGGGGTCTCTCCTCTGGTCTGTCTTGAGATGCAGACCTCACCCTGGCTCTGCGCAGTCCGGCCTAGCGGATGGATGACTGCGAACAATACCCCCCCCCCCCCCCCGCCCCTGGCAGACTGGGCCGTAACTGGATCCATCGATATCCACTTCCTGCATCAGTGGTCAGAAGGTCAGGGGAACAAAGATTCTGTGATGGCCGATCCTTCTCGATAAAAATACAATTATTTCAGTGGTGAATGCAACTCTTTTTGGAGAGACCAAATATCGAGTGTCGGTGGTGGGGGTGTATCAGAGCCGACGTCACAAACACCACCTCTCCCAAACTCCACCTGAACACTAGTGGGTGTTCTTCACGACGCAGGACTGCCAGTAGAGTGCAGTATGTGTGTGTGTGATCACACCCCCCACCCCCAGGTCACGGCTGCCGACTTTCGCCCATTTTCCTGGCCCGACATTCACTGGACGTAACTTTAAAGCTTTAAAAACCACCAAACGGGTTGCAGCCAAACGCCAGTTCTGGGCCCGAGATCCCCATGCTGGGATATACTGTACATTTCTTTACTTTCGAGACACCTTCCCAGCGCAGTACTGGTGCGGTGCTGGTGTTTCCTCGTTACAAGTCTAATTCATATTCAGAAACACGTTAAGCAGTGTTTGCGGAGGGAAACAGGGAGCGGCACCTCTGACTGAACGGACGTCGTGTCGACACTAAGCCCATGAAGAGGCAGCTTCCAGACATTAGCCTTGGCCTCTGCTGTTGTGGTAAACGGCATAATATCAGCTTGATTTAATTTATCAGAGTGGGATAAAAACTGCGCTGTACTGTATGGAGTGCTCAGCATGGCAGGAGATGATTGTGAATGACTGTTTTCTGAACTTTGGGTCTGGGTAAGGAAATGGCGATAAATTCCAGGGCCATGAAAAGCCTAAGGTTTAGTTCTGATGTTAGGGGCCCCTTTTAAGACCCTCGAATGACGGGGTGAGATTGCCCCCAACACGCTCATTTTGCGGGGCAAGGGGCCTGTGTACATGACTGCTGTAAGACAATTCAATTAGCCACAGTGGTAATTCCCCCCGCTCCTCTGCCGCTAATTTCCCATGACCGCCTCAAACGGCACGGCAAACAGATGTACCGTCCCTGTCGATTCCTCGTGCGTAAACTCATTTCATGCCTTCCTGGAGATAATTCTCCCTGTGCCTGAAACCTAAATAATCATGCTCAGTTAATGATATCATTATCCAGATCTGGGATAATGGAGCCACGTTCCGCCTGCTATCGCTGTGGGAACCATCTACTAAACGGACCAGGGGGCGGCCCACTTTAGCGACTCCACCCATGCCCCCCAGGGGACTCTGGCTGGGGCCCCTCCAACTTCAGCGCCAGTGTTTTTCAGAGAACTTTGGGGGAACGAGGCAGAAGGTATACAGTGGTCAAGAAGTCAAGGGTCCTAAACTAGAGCTGCAGTTGTACCCTTGAGGGTGGAGTGAATTCTCCAGCTGTGTACAGTAAATGGATATAGCAGAAACTTCATTAATTACAATTCAGTGAATCCTCCGCTGAATGCTAGCAGTTCCCCTCCACAGGACACCCCCCAACAGGGAGGACCAGGCCACGTGTCCGATGCGGTGACGTGACTGCAGCCCAGGGGAATCTGATATGCAGGCTTCAGGGCTTGCTGGAAGAGCTGCGTCATTGCGTGTGGCCCCGATTCAGTTACGTGCCCCACTGTGTCATTCCTGCCCCACATGAAGCTCAGCTCACTGGGACTCTGCCTGTGATCGCCTCAAACAGCTCATGTGACCACTGACCTGCTCCGTCATTGGTCATTCCTTGGTTATGGTCTCCTGGCAACAGTAGATGTGTGCGGAAATCGCATTTGTCTAGTAGGTCCACATGGTACTGTACCTCGCTGGCTCCTTGACAGGTGTTTGTTTGTGATGTACTATCTGCCTTGCTTGTATATCGATGTGGATAAAAGTGTGTACTAAATAATCAAACGGAAATAAAGTGTTGAAAAGTTCCAGACCACTATGATGGGGTTGCTTCAATGATGAAGTAGCAAACCCCCCCCCCAACCGCTCATGACGCACCAGACACTTTCAGTATCACAGCAGACCTCAGCCCAAGCCCCCCCACCCCATGTGAGAATTTTTTCCAACCAGAGGGAGTCCGACTCTCTTCTTCTGGGTCTCCTCCAACACCCAAGTTTCGGTGGGTCACGTGTGTCGTCACCGGCTACTAAAGACAGCACAATGACGGCGACCTGCTAGGTCAGCCCCCCCCACTCTTCAAGCTTCCAATTCCCCCCCGAATCACATTATTGCTCTGGGTTCAAATGCAGCAGATTAAAAACCCATTTCCCTCTGTGAAATAGCAAATCGATAATGGGTGACTATTAAATTAAATAACACAGTCTTGAAACTTAATAAATGCATTATATTTCCTACAATAGATCCATTGCATGTATAATATATTTGTATACTGCAGGATAAAGGCTATTAAATAATCACCATCCATCCTGAAACCGCTTGTTCAGAGCAGGGTCACAAGGTGGGCCTGGAGCCTATCCCAGGCAGCACATGGGCAGAAGGCAGTGGTACAACCCAGACAGGCTACCAATCCAACACCAGGCATGTGCACATCACACATTATGGACAACTTAGAGACATCCATACTGCATGTCTTTGGACTGCAATAGGAAACCACATGACATGAGCGGAATTTGCAATCCATACACACACAGGAAGAGCGCCGGCAGGATTCGAACCTATGAGCCGAAACACCCGGTTGGCCACACTCACCATAGGCAGTCATGGTGCCCACATAAGGCCCGTCCATGGCCCCGTGGTTCTCCTCGGCCAGTGCCTTGACGTAGCGTTTGCTGAGCTCCAGGATCTGCTGGCGCAGGGCGTCACTGCTCTCGTGTTGCGACCGCTGCTGGATGGTGAAGTGCAGCAGCATCATGCCCCAGATGAAGCCGAAGCTGACCAGGAGGAAGCCCAGCTTCTGGGAGGACAGCTTCCACAGGTACGAGGAGCCCATGGCGGCCGGGCGGCAAGGAGCGCGCGGGGGAGCGAGGCTCAGGAGGAGAGCCGGGTCATGGCGCCGAGGGGGGGAGAGGGTGCCGAGCTGAGTCCCTGCCCTCAGGCGTGCCACCCCCCCACGGAGTCAGGCACGTCCTGGGCGGCCCCCGGGCCAGGAGTCATCCTGTGGGGAGAACACAGGGAGCATGTTCCTGAGCATCCGAGAGGCAGATCCAGTCATCTGGCAAAGGAGCTGCTTGTTTACAAGAGACAAAGCCTCAGAGGCCACGCCCAGCCCTGTCCGACCGCACCTAATCATAAGCAGGTACAAACCCTTTTGGCCTCCAGAGCCCCATCCTGGTCTGAACTCAGACTTCCTGTACACTATTGCTCAGTCTGCCCCTGCTCCTCTCACCTCCTGCATTCTGTCCCTCCTGACCCTGTCACGTGTGAAACTCCCAGCAAGGCAGCTGTGTCAGAGCTGCTGGGACCAGTGTGCCAGGCCCCGACATTCACACCGCGTTCAGATTCGCTGAGGTCAGGCCCCCCACCCGCTCGCCCACATACCCTCACGCTATATAAGTCAACCTACCCCCCGTCTGTGTTCAGATGTAACCACGTGATTGTGTAGGGTTTATAAGATCTCCCTGCTTCTCGGCTGATCTGGTCATTTCAGTCCTGCCATTAATAACTCCCAGTTCATTAATCCATCCATCATAAATGAATGCAAATGACAAATCTATACTATTAAGATAAGATGATTTAGCACTAAGTATTAATCCTTCTGCAGGGATTTCAGTACATGGCTGTACCGATCACAACTCTAAGATAATGCTTTACGGCAAGGTGAGGTGCTCAAACATATCTCACCATAATACATCTGTCCGTCGTCCACATCTGCCTCTGCTGTGCTCTGCAATTCTGAGATCTCAGACCTTATCCCCGGAGCCATGGCAACACCACAATGTCACTGGGAAGCACTCAGTCAATGTACGGATAACTTAGTGACATCACTTCACCTGATGGCATGTTTTAGGACAGCAGGAGGAGACCGATAAACCTGCAGGGAACCCAAACAAACGCTCGGGGGAATGTAAGAAACTACACACACACAGCTGGGGGGTGGGGATGTAACCAACAACCTACAGTGCGGAGACACCATGATCCTCATCAAGTACATTTAGAGTAAATTATGAAACTGATGGAGTTCCGGTTTGGAGAACCTTTCTCAACAGGGAAAACTACTCTACAAATTAATGATCAACATTTTAAAAGACAAACACCAGTTTAATAATAAAATGAATGAACATAAACTTTTGCCGTGATACACAAGAATCCCGCTATACTGTACTGTAGCTCTCCAACAACTAAAAGCTAAGCAGGCTGTCAGGCATGTATCTCAGGTTCAAACTGGGCTGTGTGTTTTGAAGAGGATGACTGGCCCTGATGATCCCAGTGAAGTCTGCGCTGTGACCCAGAGCCAAAAAGCAAGAGATAAGAACACAGAGGCAGGTGCTGTGGTAAGGAGGCCGTCCCCGTGTTTCCATGACGCCAGGATTTCCCATTTTTGTGCGGATGATGGAGATCATGCAGCACTGGGAGTTCCTTCTCTCTGACTCTACAGCCAACATCAGGCCCTCTTTACAAAGAGTGAATTACGGTCCTGATGTCTGGCCGGACTGCCGCTTAGGCAAACCCAGACCGGCACTGTGGCGACCTGGACAGAGTCGAGCTGACCTCACATCCCGAGGCTGGACCCGCGCCTTAGAGGCTGCTGTGCTCAGCCTCAGGGCTGGTCTTTAACCACAGGACGAGTCACAGGCAGTACAGGTTTGACGCCTCCATGCCTGGGGGAGGGGGGCTCCTGCCGTACCTGAGTGCTGAGGTGTGAGGGGCGGAGTCCTGGGATGCAGATTCAGGATGACAGGTGTACTGGGGGGGGGGCTGGGGGGAGGGGCGTGAAGTGACAGAGATAGTTGGTGTGACGCGATATGGGATCTGTGATGGCGGGAGGGCATGACACACTCACAGCGGCACTCAAAGCTGAGACATGCTTCCCGCACTCAGCTGGGGGGCAAAATGACCACAGCCAGACGCACACTGTGTAAAACCGTTTGCTTACTTCTGCTTATGTTTCCTAGATAATTACTCTGACAGATAGATTAAACAGATTTATCACAGTTGTTTCAGCACCTGGGAAATGACAGGGCAGCCTGGTGGCCCTGGATGTGACCTGGCGATGAGGGTGAACGTGTTGCTAAGACAGGCAGATGGCACGGTCCTTGGGCATCCTGTGGGGGGCGGGGTCTGCGTCACACGGGTTCATCGCCAACGGAAGCGCAGGGACTCGCTGTGTCACACGCCATGCGACACCAGAGACCATCTATCCGCCACTAAAATCGGAATCTGCACTGGGGGGTTGCGGGTTTCGGAAGACCAGAAGGCCTCTGGGGGCAGATCTGAGGGGCCCACTTCCACAGACAGATCCTCCAGCCACTTATCCTGGTCAGGCAGGATGTCCCAGCCAGCACGGGGTGGGGGGGGGGGCACTCTGGATGGGATGACAGTCCACATACATACACAATTATAACCTATGATGATTACAGCCTAATTGCAGGCTAATTAGCCTAACTACAGGAGGAAACCCACGCAGATGGGGCAACATGAGATTCAAACCCCCCACCATCGAGCCATCAAACCCATATCTCCTACAAAAATAACACATGAACTTAAAGTAGTAAGCAGACTGTCAATCTGTGAAATCAGACCATGATGTGAGAGGGTAAATGTCACATACAGGAATAAAGCTCTGCAGATGTGTGAGAGAGTAAATCCAGGGCCACCAAGAAGCAGCTTCCCCAAAATCCAGGGTCTGACAAGGACCCCGCAGGAGCCTCACAGTCTCTCCCTTACTGACGACGCTCTACATCATCTTAAAGGACGGCAGCACTGCAGAAAAATTGCCACAGAGAGATGAGTGCTACTTGGCAGCAGCAGAGGCCAAAGCGCCACACGTTTCTCACATGCACGGCTCTCTTTTAAATGCGATACCTGCTGCAGTCTTTCAGAGGCGGCCAGACGCGTTCTGAGAGTGGAATGACACCTCCTCACGCAGTGACTCACTCAGCGAAACGGACAGAGAAGCTGAGCTCATCCGCGACGGACCCTCCTAAAGTCAGCGAGAAAGCTGGCCGGGAGGATCGGGAATCCCTCTGTCATGCGGCGCCAGAGTAACAATCGTCACGCAGAATCGCAAAGTGAGCAAATCCTCTCTTAAGCTTTTATGGTGGATAAAAGCTGCTCTGTCTCCAGCACCCCTGCACCCCCGGCCCCAGAAAAGGCTCTTTGAGGATATGGTCTTCGTCCACAGTGTAACCACACGGGTCAGGAGTGGAGGAAGCTCGTTAGCGTAAACGAGGGCGACTCACTAGAGACAGATTGATGAGCCTCCAGGGTTCACATAATATACTCTGAGATACCCCCCCCACCTGCTTCCCAGACTGTGACAGTGTGCTGGGTGATACTCCATCACGTACGAATTAAGTGAGACTCAGGGTAGATGCTTTCACCTCAGGAAGGAGCAGCTCTGTCATGAGGCCAGCCTCACCTTTGTTCAGTATTTTGGTTTTATTTTATCCCCTAACGTCTGGTATTGTTAATCTATGTCTTTGCTTTGTGTCTCTGTTTACGGTAACCCAGCCCGTGCCTTGTTTAGTTACGTCTTGTTTTACTTGTGTTCCTAGTCTCTCCTTGTGTAGATAGCCCTCGAGGTTTGTGAATGTTTCTTACTCTCTAGTGCCTGTTAATTGTAATATACCAAGGGGGGGAAATCTGAACCATGGACAGCCGCTGTGGGTGAGGGTTCTTGGGATGACCTCTCAATCAGCCAATAACAGTGGGTTCCTATGACTGGAGTTGAGAACCACTGCTTTATTATCCCAAAAACCCACAACCACACTGGCCCTCCATGGATCCGGTTTGCCACCCCTGTAATATACCTAAACCCCGCCCCGAGTCCCTAGTAATTGGTTGATTAATTATGTTTCTCACCTGTCCTTCATCTTTTTGCGTTAGTAGCGTATTTAAGTGCCTGTTCTTGTTCTGTTCCTCTGTGGTTCATTGTGGCTATTTTCCTGTGTTGTTGTATGATTATTAGTTGAACTTACATAGTTAGTTATTGTAGTTTTCCCTCTGTTCCTCCCTGCCTTAGTTTCTGTTTTATCAGTTTTATTTTGACCCCTCACATTCCCTTTGTTTTCTGGTTCTCCCTTTTTGTCTGTTTTCTTCGTAAAACCCTAGTTGTTGAGAGCTGCTACATGTCACGCTTCGCTGTAACACGCATGGGATAATCACTGAAAGGAATCTGACATTAAACACGCACTAAGATCAGGAATGCCTTCTGTGCATGGAGATGCAGATCAGCGGGGGAACTGAACAACACAGCCTCTTTCCAACCTGTGGGCTGCACTGCAGCACACAAACAATCACCTCTGATGAGTGCAGATGCTTCGGATTCTTCGACTCCAATGGCGTGATACCTATTCATAATTCATGCGCCACGTTGAGACGTAAAACGAGCTTCATGAAAAATGCAGAAACCTACAATGGAGGCTGATTAGGGGGGGGGACGTTTCGCACACTCATGAAAGCATGCCGGTCCACATTCACACTCGAGTGGAAACATATTACCTGTTACCAAAAAGCTGAGCCTCTGCGTCACTTTGAAGGGACTGAGCACTGAGCGTGACCTGACAAGCTGACTCTCCCGGGGGTGGCCCGTCCCCCCAGCTGCAGGCCCCACTCTCCGGCCTCCGCCAGATCTCCTCCACTCAAAAGAGCGAGAGAAAAGTCTGGAAACTGGGGCACATTATGGTACAGACTTACCACGGTATGTCAGACCCCCCACCGAGGGAAGCTGAGGATAGACGCCATGGGTGTCTGGTTCAAGGACAGCAATGGACATCTGTACGTCAAACTTGAAAACCGCCCTGGACAGAATGACCGCAGAAAGAGGACACCCCTGCACCTTGACGACCAGGGGACGAGAATGACACGTGCTTTTCCTCGGGTGTCCAGAAACGGCACATTCATCAGGCCCTCGGGTCTGTTAGAACCTTCACAGTGCACGTCTCACGCTCACACAGCCATGCTAATGCTAATGCTAATGGCACGCCGCTCTGACGC